CATCACAGAGCTCGTTCTCCGAGCAAAGAAAGACAACCTGGCGAAACAGCAGCAGCAGCAACAAAATGATGTCGTGAAGCTCACGAAGAACAGTAAACGAAAGAAACGCTGCTGCTAATGCCCCTCAGGCCACGCAGAGACTGCACTGCGGTCCCTCCCCGAGCCCGAGGCCTGCAGGGGTCCTCGGGGGACAGTCTCAGTTTCGTGCCGTTATTTAAAGAATTCTCTCCACGTTTTTTATTGGGAGGCGCCATCGGCACTTCCTCCCCTTCCCTCTCGAGTGCCAAGAAGGTGTTGGACGAGCCCGCCCTTCCCACTGGTGCCCTCCTCCCTGCTGAGGCGCCTGGACCTGGTGAGGACGCTGCCAGCCAAGCGGACTGATTAACCAATTTGTACATAGTGTATATTGCTTTAACCAGCTGCACACCCTTGTTCTGCTCTGGCCTTGGCCTCCTTAATGTCACCTGTTGCAACAGACCCTCCCCAGCCCTCCCCACCGCCAGCAGCTTCCCGCGGAGGCAGCGTCTCCTTCAAGCTGCGTCTGTGGCCGACCTGGGCTGGAGTGGGCTCTGTGTTGCTCACTCTCCTGCAGGTTGGTGGCTTCTGTCCCTGCCATGCAGGCTCTGACCCCTCTCCAGGGTCTATGCCAGCTGTTCTCCTGACCCCACAATTGCTCTGGGAGCTGGGGAAACCTGGCCTTGAGGCAGCCCTGCCCTCTGCTGGCCCCATGCCTTTGGTTCCACAGAGGCAGGTAGTCTTGGCCTCTGGCTGACAGGTTTCTTTTCCTGCCTTCTAGATGCCTCTGGTACAAACCCAGAGGTGCTGTGTCTTCTTAGAACCCACATGTTTCTGTTCCAACAGAAAGGTAGGGGTGTGTTTGTGCAGAGATGGGGCTTTCAGGGGGCTATAGGAGCATTATTTTAACAGATAAAGAATATGAAGCCAAATCAAATGAATCAAGTTCCTCACAATTATTTTCTTTCCCTGAGGTTTGATTGGCACAGCAGCACAAGTTGTGGCTGTCCCACTTTGGGTCCAGTGTTCTTATAAAAAGCAAATGGCTTTCTGTCCTTGTGGGGCTGGGCTCCTAGCCCTTTCTTGGGAAGAGCCAGAAGTCTATGATACAGCACCAGGCACTTCTGGATGTAGGGGGTGGGCACCAGGGGCTGCTGAGTAATGGGAAGGACACCTCTGAACTGGGCCAGGAGACCTTGGATCACTGACGTAACTGTTGTAGTATGAAGGCGGTAGGATTGCTTAGCAGACGGCAAGGATGGTAGCGGGGCTGGCTAGGGCAGCCAGTTTTGATCTACCCCAGTCCCCTGGTGAAAAGCCAGGGTGTCTGCATATGATTATTGCTCTCCCCTTCTGTGGGACACATCATTCCCCCTTCCCCTAAAAGGATCACGTAACCTGGGAAGAACTGATTTCAGCATCATGAAGTGTTTTATTAGATTTCCTTTCCTAGGCGATTTCCAGGTAAAGCCCTGATTGGACAATCACATCACAGATCACACTGCAGATTTTCCGTGTTAACACTGTGGATGGGTTTTTAATCAATAAAAAATGGGGGTTTCTTCTCACCTGTTTCTCCACTTGTCCAAACCGCCAAAAGACGGGGTTCCGTGGCAGGCCTTTGCTTTGGAGCTGCAGGCTGGGGTCATGGGGCCATGGGTGGTGGAGGCAGGGGCGAGGAGGGTGCTGCAGGCAGCCCCATCTGGCTGGGGTAGCTGGGAACAGAAGTGGGGTCTCTGCCCTCAGGACTGTCCTGGCTGACCAGGAGCCTGTGGCCCAGGGGTCATACTTGCCTCTGAGCACTCAGGTGAGGCCGTATGGAGTGCTTGCAAACTCAAGCAATAAGGGTGATCCTGTGAGCTTCCAGCCCAGGACAGAAGCCGCAGTGGCTTCTGGCACCTGGACGCCCAGATGCAGGTGGTGGGTTAATTTTGGTGACGACAGTGTCTGTCCCATTGAGTGTCACACGCATGAATGGGGGGGTTGTTGGGTGGGGGTGGGGGACTCAGGGCTAGACCGACATCCTGGTGGACCTGATGTGAAATTCCTGTCAAACAACAACTTTTAAATGGTTTGCTAGGATTATTTCTGTATTGAAAGTTTCTAATTATGCTTTTTAAAAAAAATCACTAAAAATAAAGGTTCAAGCTGCCAAATTTTCTTTCAGGGTCTTTTTGCTCTGCTCTGAGTGGGCCTGGCTTCTTCCCACCTATTATGTCCAGCTCTTGTATTTAGCCTGAGTCTTGTACAGGCGTCAAGGCCCTGGGACACTAAGAAGCCAAGTCCATTTTCTCCATGAGCAATTGGTCCAGGGTTGAGCATCAGTCTGGACGGAAAGCACTGGCTGGGAGCACGCATGGGCAGGTGCCAGGGGAGGCTCCATGTTTATTCTCCACAGGCCAGAAGGACGCAGTGGAAGCTTTTGCCTGGAATGATTCCTCTGGATGTTTTCTGCCAAGCTCCAAGGCCCTGTTCTCAGCCTGGGGAGCAGTGCTGGCAGGGCTGTCTGGAGTCTGCACACTGGAGTTCTGGCGGGGAGCTCCACACCTGATGGAAGAGGCGCAGGCCAGGACAGGACAGGATGCTGCCACCTTCCAGAAAATGAGCCCCTTCCAGGCTCAATCGACGGTATCAGAGGGCAGGAGGTGGCCTCCCAGGTGTGGGCCCAGCTACTGCTACTCTTCATCAGCAGCCAGTGGTGGTTCTGACGAGCAGGCCACATTTGGACCAAATGACCCCTCCCCATACCCAGTGACTGAGGCAGAAAGCTCTGTAGAAATTTGTTTTATTCTTATTCAGACTATTTTCAAAAGAAGCAGTGGTGCGGTTTTTCTAAAAATATGCCTTTATAGATTTATATATATGTATATTATAAAATCCATACATGTATTTACACGTTTGCTACATACAAAATTACAGCACTGTGGTATGTACATATCTATAGGTACATTCTTTCTGCTCATCCCTGCTGTGCTTTTCCCCTGGAGCGAGGGAGACTGAATCAGTGGTAAGCAGCTGAGGGCAGGCTGGGCCTGAAGAGCCTCGAGTCAGGGCCTCAACAGAGACAGTAGGGTGGCTGCTGTGGAAGGAGCAGAAGCAGCAGGGTTAGACCCTGGCCCTCTGCAGGCCCGGTGGACAGTATGTGGAGGCTCCCAGTAGCCTCCCTTACACCCATGGTGTCAGTGCTGCCTTGGAGGAGGGGGTGGCTGGCCATACCCCTATGAGGACATTCTGTGGCCAGGACTTGCTCAACTGGGCCAAGAAATTATATTTGAGGGGCAGGGGGCTGTGGAAACAAGATGAGCCCTCTCTCAGCCCTGGGCCTTCCACGAAGAAGAGAGGACTGGACCACTAATTGATGCCTGTCACCAACCAGCGAGAACGCCATCTGGCCCAGGCCTCGCTAAGGGTAAAGGACTATTCTGGAGAAGGCTGGGGAGGAGAGTTGGCGGTGGCCAGGGGGCAGGGCCCTCCTTCCTCCCTGGGGCTTAGGATGGCCTCAGCCGAGCTTGGGTACACCCCAGCTCTTAGGCTCCTTGGCCGCAGGCTGGGCCTCCTGCCTGCAGAGGGGCCCCAGCAGAGGTGCATGCACATGGGTAAGGGGCCGCACCTCCCCTTACTCTGGGCCAGTGGCTGGGGCAGGAATGGAGGCGTAGGCCGGGCCTGCTGCTCTGCAGGACTAGGCAGGCCCCTGAGGCTCAAGCCTTCCAAGGCATGCAGATGAGGGCCTCCGTTTCTTCTGTTGCCCATTATCTAAAATTGCGGAGGCAGCAGTGCCTGCCAGGTGGGCTGAGATCAAGTGGGTCTGAGCAGCAGAGCCCAACCCACAGGCTGCTCTGGAAGGTGGCCTGACCCCTGCTCGATAATGGGATCCTGGGAGCCCAGGCTTGGGCTTGGCTAGAGCAGCTTTCAGAGGCCAAGAGGCCCCTGCCTCTTGGTCTATCCACACTGACAAAAGGGAGTGGGTTCTCTGGGACCTATTGGGCCCCAGTGTGGGCGGGCAGTGCAGCTCCCCTAGGCCACAGGGGAGGCCCTTGCTCACACTGCCTTCTAGCTGCTTCCAGTCTGCCTGTCCTCCGTGGCCAGACTCCTCCCAATTTAAATTTTCCTGAAGAATGAGAAGAGCCGTTTGCCTTCGGTGGTGCCAGGCTCATCGCCCCGCCCTGCACCATGGCCCCTGGAGACGGCAGCAGCAGGCTGGCTCCGTTCCTTCAGGTGCGTGTCCATCAGTTGCCGGTCAATGACCCTGTGCATGTCATCCTGCAGAGGGGGAAAGTGGACGGGGCTGAAGGTCAACGCATGCCTGGCCCTGGGGGTGTGCAGGGAGGAGGCCAATGTTGGGATGAGAGATGAGGATGAGGATGAGGGTGAGATGAGTGAGCAGCAGCGGCCGGGGCTGCCTACCAAGAAAGCAGTGAGTGGGCACGATGCCAGGATACACGTAGGAGCCACCTGGCAATATCTCCTCAGGGCTTGAGCTGGCTTCTCACCAGTGTCCCCATGCCACTCCCTTGGCTGATCACTCAGATGCTCTGTCACAAAAGGCCCAGAGAACCACGTAGCCCTCACAGCACACGCAGCCTCCCTGGTGACCAGCACCTGTCTTGCCTCCTGATCTGTGGTCTGGTTTGTTGGCCCCATGCTCAGAAGGCCCAGGGGAACCTGAGCGTGCCACTCTCCAGCCCAAAGCCTGGCCTCAGGGGGCTTCTGCCATCCCTCCTGCCTTCAAATTATTTGCAGCCTGGGCTGCTGATGCCCACGCACTCCTGGCAGTCCTCACCCCACCAGCCTCCCGCTGCAGCAGTACCATGATGCTCGTGGCCTTCAGGGCTGTCTGTGCCCACTCTGGTCCAGTTCCATTAGCTTCTTTCCCAGGGTCTGACCTTATCCCTTCTTTTTGGCTGCCCAGAAACTACCCCTGCCCTGTCCTACACAGCAGCATCTTTTATTCCACAGAGGCTTCTGGACAGAGTAGTTCCGCTCTTTCCATTCTAGTTGATCTGATTCTGTGTAAGATCCCACCTGACAAAAGGGCTCTGTCATAACACAGTCCGACAACTGCTGGTAAGACACATCCGTGGTCCCCTGCAGTCATCATCGGCAGGAAATTGAACAAGCATCTTGGTTCCTCCAGCCTGGAACCTGGCAGTGGCTCTGGATGTGCTGTTGAAAAGGCCCTGAGCCCTTCGAGTCAGCCACTGGCTTCTAAGCATGGGCAGGTGAGGCCGGGGTTCCGGTGGGGCCCCTCCAGGGGAGCAGATGACCTCTGCAGCTAGGGCAGGAAGTTGGGATGTCTGAGCCTCTGCCTGACAAGCCTGTCCCTCACCTGCCTCACCCAAGCTTCCACCTGGAGGTGTTACTCAAGTAATATCTTCAGGTTTCAGGGTGAAATGAAGGGACCTTCCTGTCTTGTCACCAGGTGGTGGTAAGTACTGGTCTAATGTGCTGCACCCTGACCTCCTACCCACATCCCCAGTCCTTCCTGGCACCTCTCCTGCTCGCCTCCTGCTCTTGCCTCCTAGTCCACCTTTCTACTCATCCCTCAAATCGGACGCTGGGCCAGGTATTTGCCAACACGTGGCTCCTACCTCCGAGGCCGGATGAGAACACCGCACCCTGCATTTAGGACGTGTTCAGGAAGATTTCTTTTTGGTCCCAGCGATGGAACCCAGGGTGCATAACAACTGAACCACATCCCCGGCCCTGATGCTGGCCTTCAAGCTTGCCATCCTCCTGCTTTAGCCACCCAGGTCACTGGGATTACAGGTGTGTGCCACTGCACCTGGCAAAATCTATGCTTTTAAATACAACAGAGGAATATTAAAGGGTCCTTCAAAAAAGGATCCATTCAAAGCTACCAATGTTTTTTTTCTGGCACATTCATTACGAACTGCACTTTTATACTCTAAGCAACCAAAATCGGCTCACTAATGCCACGAAATGGATCTTGGAACTTCACAGACACTCACGTGCTGCTCATAACTCCACACCTGCTGCCGTTTCTGGGGGCAAAACAGTCCTCTACAACGAGGTAACACTGAGAAACCAGGCCAGCCTGTCACTGTTGGCCACATGCTGAGGAGCTTGCTGAACATGATGGTGATGGGAGGAGGGAGGCTGGGGCTCGATGACACGTCACACTGCACAGAGATGATGCCAGGCTCCGGCACACAGAACACAGTGGGCCACGAGGGGAGGTGGCAGGGGCAGGACAGCAATGGCAGTGGGGAAAGGGCAGGTGGGATACAGGGCTCAATCTCACCTCAAAGGCAGGAGGGGTGTACAACTAAAGCTGTTGATACGGGAACTGAGAAAGGCCACTAGATCAGAAACCAAAGGAGCCAGATAGTAAAAAGCCCTGAGGAAGCAAACTGTAGCCAGGAGAGAAGAGAGAGAACAGTGGCGGTAAGCTGGGGCCTGGCCAGCTGACAGCTGGACAGGAACCAAGGGGCCAGTGACCAGCACTCTGTGGAGCCAGGGTTAATGCGGCTAGCCCCACAGGGCCCTGAGAAGAAGGATCACTGCTAACCTGCCCTCCAGAGGGGCTCACTCAGGTAGCTTTGCATCCATCTAGTGGGGATTGAGGAGAAACATCAGTGGCTACGCCACACCCTGATGTCATGCTACCCATGTAGCATGACATGCAAAGCCGGTCACAGCCTGGCCCCAGAGAGCTGCACTGGACCCTGAGAATGGTGGTCCCAGAGACGAACAGGGCGATTCATTCTTCCCAGTGCAGCCGATGCTCTTTGGGAAAGGGGCGCTGCAGGCCTTTGAGGAGGACCGCATCCAGCTGTGAATTTTTACCTGGTCACACGGGGCTTCCCAGCACCTCCGTGTCAACAGCTGTTTCTTTCTCTAGTTTAAAGTACACCAAAAAGGCCAGCTGAAATAGGGCCTCCTTCCAAGTGTGGGGGGCACTACAGCAGCAGCCTGGGGTTTGCCACTCCCAAAAGCACCCTCAGGAATTATCCCCAGGAAATGGGAGCACAAGAACTCTGGGTTTCTTCAGGTAAAGATGGGGGTTCGCCCAGTTGTGTGGGACCCTTACATGGCAAACTGTCCTTACACTATGCTCAATTCAAAGACCCTCCTGAAGTCTTTTGCCCTGGGGCTCAGGTTTTTGTTCTTTTTTACCTGCCAAGCCTCAAGCTGCTGGGAGAGGTTCAGTTTCTGCTGAATGGCGTCCAGCAGCTGGCTGTTCAGTGACATCATGTCCATCCTGCACTTGGCAAGTTCCAGCTCCACGGCATTCTTCCTGAAAACAGACAACCAAGAGTGAGCCCACCAACACCCTGTGCCAGCCGTCCTGGGGACCTGGAGCCCACAGGGAAAGGAAGCCCCCTAGCCGTGGGTGGTCTGCAATGTGCCTTCACACATATTCTGTTATAACCAACCTGCAGGTGAAGGGATGATTTGTCAACTCCGTCTCACAGATGGAGAAACAAGGTTGAGCCCAGAGGGAAACCAAGGCCTCACACAGCACCAAGGAGCCACTCATCTGCTCCTCCTGGGGGGTGAGGCTCTTGACCTCCTGGCATGGAGAGGGTATCCCTTTAACTAAGTACTCTTCCCTTAAGGGAACTGTCCCAAAGTTACGGATGTGTGCAAAGGTAGCCACACAAGGACACCCATCATAGCTTGGTATCTGACAACTGGGAACTGGTAAAAAGAAAGATGGAATACAGTCGCCAATAATAGTCAATATGAAATAGGGTATTTACGGACAATCATGATGTTGCTCTGTGGAAAAAAGATCCAGAAAACAAGTTCTAGTTTTGTGAACTGAAAATCCCCAGCCGGTCGGAGGGCAGACTCATAACCCTTGCTGGTTATCTGGGTATGGATCACTGATAGTGACTCCCCAGTCTTTTACATTTTCACATATCCCATGTTTCAAGTGTTACTTTGTTTTCCTCCCTCAATATTCCCAAATTACAGCTGTTAAATGCTGGAGGAAATTAATCCTGGGGTGGGCGGGGATGGGAATAAAAGCGGAAGGGAGCCAACGGAGGAGGCACCAATATCCCAGCCATGGAAACGCACTTCATTCAGCTCTTGCCACGTCTCCCACTCCCTCAAGTACTCAAATGGCAAAGCTCAGTGTCCTTGCTGTACATGGCGCAGGGCCCAAGGACAGCGAGAGGATCCAGGATTCGCCTGCGGAGAGGGCGGGCTCCCCTGCTCCGGCCTGGAGACCCTGTCTGCACTAGTGGCAGCCGGCAGGAGGGGCAGGTGGGTCCCGTTTAAGTGCTCGGGGCACCGCTGTGACCAGCACTTCCTCTCTGGCCTTCAGTCACCCACCCGCCTTCCCTAGAGATGCGGCTTCTGGCGACGGTGCCCGCCAGCCCCGCCCACTGCGGCTGCCGACAGCCCGGATAGGACCTGAGCCTGCCCAATGGGCGTGGGACTCGAGGCAGTTCGTCACGCCCCTGCCATTGGCTGGCGGTGAACCGTGGAAATCCTCGTGTGGAGCCGGTTGCCATGGACGCTGGCCGTGCCGCAGTCCCAGCCAGAACGTCAGCACGAATCCTGGGCTGGGCTGGGCTGGGCTGGGCAGGGGGGGTGGAGGCCTCGAGCTTCCGCCGGCAGGTGGCACCGTGTGCAGCCGAGCCCCCAGGAATGTGCTGACTAATGCCGCTGCAGGGCCCGATGGCCGGTGGTGCGCCCCTAGCGGGGTCTTCTGACCTCAGTAGCCCAGGTTGGCTACAGAATCGGGGCTTGTCATCCATGAGAAGCCCCAGACCGGAAGAGCACAGCGACAGAAGTCGCCCACTGATCAACATAGTAATCATTTTTTAAAGAGGAATATTTCCAGGTACGAGAAGAGTTCCTTTGTTTATGGAACCACTAGCCGGGTGGGTGGTGCTCGCCTGTGACCCCGCGGCTGGAAGGCTGAGGCAAGAGGATCACAGGTTTGAAGCCAGCCTCAGCAATTTAGCGAGACTATAAGCAAACTAGTGAGACCCTGTCTCAAAATAAAAAATAAAAAGGGCCGGAGGTGTGGCTCAGTGGTTACATGCCCCTGGGTTCAATCCCTGGTACCAAACTATAAAACCCACTAGTACCTCTTTTGTTTTTGTAAGGCAGATTCCTAGCCCAAGAATTACTTCTGTTTTTAGGGAGGGCCTTTCACCTCAAATTATTTAACTTTCTTGAAATTTATCTATTGTATAGGATAAGATACAATTTAAGGTTCCTACAGCCCAGTGAAGAAAGAGACCTTATTTTTCTTAGGGATTTTCACCCCAAAGTACACATTAAACTCACTGGGTAAAGTAACCCACTACAGGAATTCAGACTTAACTGTTAGGGAGGGCTGCCCTGGTACCTGCAGGAGATTATTCTGATATGCAGCCAGTGTGGAGAATCCAAGGTAATGTATATGAAAGCATTCTGTAAACCAAGGTCCTAATCAATATGGGTGTGATTTCCACTTTAACCGATTCCTTCTGCCTGTTGTCTCAATTCTCCTAATACCAAGATTTTCATTTCCAAGGAAGAGAAAATGAACTAACCTCCCCGACTCCCCACACAGTGGTCTATCACTCTCCCTACCCAGCTAAGCCCTGCCTACAGGGATCCAGGAAAACTGAGTCCTCACTCCAGAGTTCTCCCTTTTGTGGGGCAGGGGGATGTGTATCATAAGATTGGGTAGCTGCCCCTCTGGGCAGAGCTAGCTTCCACTTTCTTTTTCTTTCCGAGGACTAGACAACTTTCTTCTTTTCTCCTGCACCTCACACTTTCTCTGGTTTTCTCTTCCACCTTCACGTTGTGGTAGAACATGGTCAGATCTTCACACTCAGCCTCTTCTCTGTTCTGCTGAGAGGATGACCAATTTGTCTGGACTATTAACCTCATTCTGCTTTTCATTCCCAATGGGCTTTCTCAATTAGCATCTTAACTTCACTGTTTTATTCCTCATTGTTTTGGGCAGTTTTGTCCTCTGCTATTCGTAAAGGTATGTCCCCCTTCCTATCACGCTGCCATTCAAGCATCCATTAACTACGCATCCCAGGAATCCAAGGAACACACATTCGTAGACAGGTTTGTGAGCCTCACGGAGTAGAATTTCTAACATGAACCAAAATTGATAGATACCTGTTATGAGGTTGTGACCAGACAGACAAGGGAACCCAAAGGTAAATTAAGAAATGGAGAAGATGAAAACATAAAGACACAGAGGAGAAAGAAAAAAGCACGGGAAGAAGTGAGAAAGGGGAAGGTTGCTACAGTGTGAGGGATTTTAAAGTCACACACTGAAGTGTGTGCCATTTTTGTTTTTTAAGAAGGCATATAGCAAAAGCCAGGTGCAGTGGTGCGGGCCTGTAATCCCAGTGGCTCGGGAGCCTGAGACAGGAGGATCTTGAGTTCAAATTGAGCCTCATCATCTTAGCAAAGCCCAAGTAACTCAGTGAGACCCTGTCTCTAAATAAAATACAAAATAGGGCTGGGGGTGATGCTCAATGGTTAAGCACTCCTGGATTCACTCCCCAGTACCAAAAAAAAAAAAAAAAAAAAGCATAGAGCATCTAATTTAGAAGTTGTTTCAAAGGAGCTCAGTGCAGTTTCCTGATGAGCAACAATGCAGAGGGGAGAGAACTCTGATGACCAGACCCGGAGGCCTAAAGACAGAGGCTGGTGAGTCTACTGGTTGTGACCCTGAGGAAAGCACCTCTCAGTTTTCCTGTCTGTAAAACAGGTATTACAAAGGTTTTCCTTCTTCCTGAGGTTGGGAGGGTGAAAGGGTACCCTGCTGTATGAACAAGAACAAGACGTACAGATACGGCTATTAACAAGCTGTAAGTAAGAAAACACGTTGTTAGCAACTTTTAAAATTTGTTTTTTGTTGCAGAT